CCTTGAAACGAAGGTAAGATCCCATGCTATTAAGGATAGGAATATCGGCAATTTCGTTGTATACTGGGTTAAGAGTTTTCTTAATAACCTGGGATTTGTAAACTTTATGTCCGTTGAGTTTAATTTCAATGTATGGATCGCTAGTGCCTCCAGAATCAGCTGCAACTAAGTTTCTTCCTTCGATAATATTAATAGCAAGTCGTCCTTGAGTCTGAGAGAATTGTTCAACACTTTCATCATAGTCAACTGGTAGAAGATCAAGACTAACACAAAGTTCACCATTAGGGCGACAGGAAACCCACTTCTTTTCTCCAACAAGTTCAACAAGCTCATTAGCCATACAGTTCCAAGTAGCAACATCTATAGCTCTATCTTCTTTTCCTTCTTGGATAAAAACGTTGAGTTGAGTAGTAGTTAATCCAGGGATGAAAACGCTTGTGCTTGAATTGAAAATAGGAGTAGAAGAGCTTTTGTTTTGAGCTTCTGATACAAGATAATTATTGACTTTTGATGAATTTAAGCAAACCATAGCACGATAATTACCATCAGGGAGACCCTTGGCAGAGTGAATCTTAACTTTGGCCAGAAATTTGCTGTATTGGGAATAGTCCCATTGATAAAGCTCTTTAACTACTTCTTTTGGCTTTTCGCTAGCATCAGTAGTAGGTGCGTCAGGTTGGGCTACTTCATCTTTACTAGATGGAGGTGGTAAGGATAATGGATGGAATGAAGCACTATAGTGAATTAAACCGCATTGCTTTCCTTTATATGTAAGAAGATCCCAATTATCAAGAGGTGTTCTTGCCAAATGAGTATCTTCTTCGGTTTCAATAATGCTAGATAGTTGGAATTCAACAGTTCCAAGAGGATCATCAGCTCTCATAGTATTTTCATCAAATACTTCCAATGTAACCAAAGCGGTAGGTCTATATACAGGGAAGAATATTACACGGTTCCAAATAGGGCTAGCATCATTTTTAATGACTTGAGTGCGTCCAACATCTTTACCTCCCATAGTAACTTGAACGAATGGATCAGGTGATGAAGTGGCTTTTTCAGGATTCTTAAGTTGAGAAGCTTGGAACATAGCCAAGCGAACAACACCAATACAAGATGAGCTAGATCCGCCGCTGAGTGATTGCTCTGCAGGAATGTCCAAAGGATGCCATTTAGCAGTGACACGAATTTTACCTGTTTTACAGTTACTTAATGGATACCAACCATTGCTCTTGGATGGGTCGAGCAATTTCAAAGCTTGATAACTCCAGCTACCAAGTTCAGGATCGGTAGCTAGACCACGGTCATCTTTCACAACAATGCTGACGTGAGAATTAGCGATGTCAGTAACAACTAATTCTATATATTCTTCAAAGCTAGGACTGTTGTTTCTCTTCTTCTTTCTAGTAGTAAGCATATGCTGGCCATTTACAGAAATATGACAGTAGGGAGTGAATTTACCGGTAATAGATTTGCTGAGATCGAGTTCTTGAAGTTGATGGAGGGTTAATCTAAGAATACCAACTTCACTTTGTAGAGTAGATGGGTCATGGAGAGATTTGAGGATAACACTGTCCTTCAATACTGGATAGAATTGTGTATCAACTTGAAGACTGCCAATTTGAATGTTCTTTTTAAATAATCCTAGTGAGACGTCAGCTTGGGTTGAGTTTTGCTCAAGCTGAGATAAAGCAAAAGTAGCAGTTCCCATAACTCCATCACCACCGAATTTGTTGCGATCTTTAACTTCAAATTTCAAATCTTCGCTCAAATTGTATAAAATAATAGTAACATCTTCGTTAAAGTTGGGATTTCTAGTATCAGATTTATGCTTAGTTTCTTGAAGTAAGCCACGAGTGTCAGTGCTGATAGCTACATAGGGATCGGGAGAGCCGATAACATCTCCTCCTTTAAGATTTCTAGCAGATTTAACAGTGACTTTTAAGAGACCAATTACAGGGTTATATCCGGGACCAGTAAGCATATCACCAATCTTAAGTTCAAATTCGTGAGGGTTGTACATCATAGGCTTGAGAATGGCATGAATTTGATCTCTAATAAAAGATTGAAGACCTGGAATATGCGCAACATCAAATCCGAAAGTATCACCACCAATAGGCTTTAAAACATAATCAATAGTTGGGACAGTAAGCATCATTAAAGATACGACTTCAATATGAGGGAAAACATCATAAAACTTAATCTTAACTCTTGCAGTAGCTTTAAGAGCAACATCTTCAACTAAAATTGGAATACCTGCACCAACAATACCTTTACCAACTCTGACCTGTAAGACGATCTTAGGGTTAACTTGGTTCTGAATTTCACGTTGTGTCATATCCAAATTATCATTAGGAACAAATTCAATATCCCAATCCATTAGTACTGTATCTTTTTCAGTTCTAGGATGAGTACGGACACTCAAAATTCTAGGGGCTTTATTTCCTAAGGTAAAAGTAGTCAACTTTAATGAGTCTAAGAATGGAGGAGTAGATACTTCAAGGACACTATCGACAATGGCAACAATTGTGGCTGATAGACCTGGTTCGTAGATAACCCAAAATCTATTTAAGAAATTATTGAGCCATTCAACAGATTCAGAGTTTTGTTCCATCTTTTCAATACTTAATTCACGAATAGCATCATCTCTAATATTTCTTCTAAAACGTTCAACGACATTTTTATAATACGTACCAACACAGGCTATAACAATGATACACCAAGTAATACCACCTCCAAGTACTACACCGGCCCAAGTAAACAGAACAGTGACAAAAATAACTGATACACTTTGATAGTATTCTAATTTAATATCCCCTTGAACAACATCTAAAGCTTGAATTCTTGATTTTTTACGATTTTCATTAACTTCTTTCCAACCAATAAATATATTGGGATTATCTTTAGATTGTTTATCGTCTTTTTCTAAAAGCTCTTCTGCTTTACCTTGGAAAGTTTGGCCAGAGCTTACAGGTGCTACGCCCGTTTTTTCTAAAGAAACGACATTAGCTGAGATGTTGGAGCCAGCTTTGGATTTTTGAGAATCTGCCCTTGATAAATTAGACTTAGTATCGAGACTTTGAGCAGGGCTCAAAGGTGTATTATACTCAGAAGGAGCATTGCTGTTTAAATCAGTAGGTGCATTGGTAACTAAAGGCTCATTAGAAGGGACGTTTAATGCAGGAGCTGCAGTAGGCGCACTAGCTGGAGGAGCTCTGCTTGCTGATTGGTTTGCACCTTTATTAGCAATTTCAGCAAGAAGCTGCTCTTGAGTAATGTGTTCAGTTGGAACGTTATTACTCATGATTCGAGACTATTAATATATGATTTTTTATTAGTTGTAGAGGCTATTTTAATAATTAAATTTGTAAAATATTATTTATAAAAATATTGATAAAGTGTTAAAGAGTTAATTGAGTAATAAACTGCTAAATGTAAATACATCTTAATTAAACTGAGAAAGTTTATTGAGTTGCTAGATTTGACGTCATTGGACAATGAGAGAAATCTATTTTGAATTAGAGTGATTTACAAAAGCTTATTTGCTTGGTGTTAAACCAATTTTGAATATGAATAAAAAGTGAAATGATACGCAGTTGATCCAATTTCTTGTAATTATTTCAAGTTTGAGTTTATGATTTAATCAAAAGTGCAGGTTTTAATTTAATAAAGCAGCTTATCGTATTCAACTTTGATTATCAATACATTATATTTGTATTTTTATTCATTTAACTATATTTTGCCTTTTTCAACATCATAAGCACTTCAATAAAAGAGGCAAAAATTCATTTATGAAGCAAATGATGGAGTCATGGATATGGTAGAAATTCTTTTAGATTTTTTCCATATTGCGCATAAGATTTTTTAAAATTATATATCATGTCATGTTTTTAAATTGATTTTATCTTGGCAATATATTTAATGACATTTATTAAACTTAATACCATAATACAACCAAAAGTCTTTAAAATTGAAAAATTCTCTTTCTTTAGATCATCATACTTCAATCTTTAATTGTTTATAAACATAGAGTACCTCAATTTTTAGCTCTTAATCAAATTAGTTAAAAGTGAGCTAACAAATTTACAAAATTAGTCAAACTTTAGTTTTATAATAGTGGATCTAAAAGTTATTAAAGCCACAGTCTATATAGAAGTTCGAAAAATAAAACTAGTACTTTAATCCTAAAATCACTGCAAATTCCTTTAAAAAATCAAATTTCTGGATAATAAGTTATATATAAATAATGAAGATATAGACCACAATGTATTTTTTCATGAAAAATCAAAAAACGCAGTTTACTAAAGGACTGATTTGGACAAAAGTATAGGAAAACAACTAATATCTTAAATAGATGATGTAACCTATAATAACAGATGGTGCTTATAGCTGTTGCACAAATTTTGATCAAATTTTATAGTAATACAGATTTTGTATATAATAAAGCTGCTAGTTAGGTTAAATGGCAGTAAATTGAAAGTTTAAAAATGCTAGCGATATATCTTGATTACTTGTCTATTATTTAGCTATATTACAAGTTAAAAATCTAGAGTTTTATAATGTTTGGGTTTATAATTATTAATTCTACTATTTGTGATGAATTCTAGCGATGTTTGTAAAAAAATTTACTTTTATTAACAAGTTCATATCAAAATTCTTAAATTATAGTATTAATAGTAATTAAAAAGGATATTTTAAATTTACAGTTTATTAAATATTTAACACTTAAGATATAATGACTAGTTTAATATGTAAATATGGATATATGACTTTAAATGATTAATAGATATTATCAAAATGATAAATTTATAAAACTAGACTTTATGAAGAATGATAAAAATAAAGTATGTTTAAGGTTAATAAAAATAAAATATTGAATTTAAAGATGAAAAAGATGGTAATGCATAATTAAAGAGGTAAAAATAAAGGATGAAAATAACAAATTAAACGTATTGAAGCTTTAGTACAACTATAATTAATAAATTGAATTGAATTAAATTATAGCCTCTTTAGCTCAGTTGGGAGAGCGTCAGACTGAAGTTCTGAAGGTCCCGTGTTCAATCCACGGAGGGGGCATATTTTTAATTTTAAAATTGACTTTAAATTTTAATTGATTATAATTAGAATTTATTTTAGTATACAATTCTTTTTTCTGCAAAATTATTATTACATTTTAAGTAAATTGATATATTTTTTACAAATTGTTATTGTGTTAGAGTTAATGTTTATGTACTGAATCATATATAAAGGGTTCTTAAACTATAATTAATGTTTTTAAGGTCTTTGTTGCTGCTGGGGCTGGTAAGGTGATTGCTGAGATTGAGGGGGGTATTGAGAAGGTGGATATCCGTCTACAGATCCATGGGAGTAGTAATATCCAGCAGGTTGACCAGCTTCTGCAGTTCTGTTATCATAGCTAGGAGGGTAGTATCCATGAGGAGGAGGAACTGAAGAGCTATTTAGAGAGTGTGTTGAGGTGGCATGTTGTAAAGTATGAGGAGGTTGGTAATAGCCTGGATAAGCAGATCCTGGGGCAACTGGTTGAGGCTCAGCAGTATAGCTATAGTTTGATGTAGGTGGGGTTATTGGGTGGTATTGAGCAAGTTGTTGTTCTTGAAGCTTTTCATATTCAGACTTACACTTAACAAATCTTTCATTAAGCGCTAGTAGTCTATCTCTCTTATAGGTATATGAATTGATTAACTTAATTAATTTAGGACGAAGAGAGAGGGCATCACTATACATTTTCTGAAGATTTTCATCTTCACCAATTCTATCTTTACTAGGGTCTAATAGGCTTAACTTAGCTAAAAGGTCGTCAATAATAGCGCTATCCCTATTAACTGCGCTTTCCAAGTCTAATAGATCAATGCTATCGTTTTGAATTGTATCAGGAATTCTTTCAACATAGTTGTTAGGGAATAATCCAACTTGTCCGTTAAGTTCACCTTTCCACCAGTTGGGATATTGACTATCTAAAACTTTAACGATATCTCCTTTGCGGAAACCTAATTCTTGTGACTCAGAGGGAGTAAAGTCATATAAGGCTCTGACTTGGAATTTTGCGGCAGGTTTAGTAGCAGCAGTTGGTGTAGCTTGAGGTAATGGCTTTGAAGGAGCAGTGGTAGTGTTGCTGCTGGCTTTGTAGTTAGAGCTTGTAGTTTTATTTGCGGCTTCTGAGAGAGACAAAGCAATAGCCAAGTCAAGTTCTTCTTGTTCTTGGTCTTTATTCTAAAATAAATAAGTTAAACACTAAAAATGAAAAAGTATTAAATAACTTACCTTAGCAGGAAGTTGAGGAGTTTTATCTGTACTAGGGAATCTAAATCCTATAAAAAAGTTAATAAATTGAGCTCGAATTAGTTCAAAATAATAGTACCTTGTCTAATTAAATTTTGTCTTAATTCTTCTATTAAACCCAAGCCAGGTTCTTTATTAAATTCTTTAGCCCAATCTTGAATATATTCCAAAATTTTATCTTTTACAATAGAGTGGATGACCTAAAATAAAAGTGTTAGAATAAATAGGATAGAGTATATAAACAACAGTCTTACATTATCTTTTAAAACTCTTTCCAAAGTGGTGGTAAAGGCTCTTGAAGAAACTTCAGGTCTTACAAGATAACCACAGTTATTGATAAGGCAAGAGGTTAACTAAGATAAAACATAAGTTATTAAGTGTATTTTAAATAATTATGGATTTTAGATATTACGCTTAAACAATATAAAACAACATTAGAATTGCGGTGGACCATACGCTTTGTAATAGCATTTATACAATCTCTAGCACTAAAATATATAAAATAAATAAAGTAAAGATAAAATAAAACAAAGTAATTACGTTGAATCGTTCTTAATTCTGTCGCAAATTTCCAAGTTAACTTCCCAATTTTCACTTGTTAAATTTTCTGAAGTTGCTTTAGCTAAATTGAATAACAGTTTAATAAAAGTAAAGCTTTAACTTGTAATTTTATTATATTTACCAACTACTTCATCAAATGCATTAATACTACCGCGAAACATATTATTATATATTTTTTATTTATAAAAAAGTAAGAATAAAAAGTAAGAGAGATGAAGACAGTAATAAATAATTATGTTTGATTTATATGCTTCCGATATAGAATAATTTTTATTGGTTAGACTTGGTTATTATCCACTTGGCAAAATCTAAAGTCACCAGAATTTTTCTTAATAATCCTAACCATCAATCAAATTAATTTTTTACGCAGTAATTATTAACTATTAGCTAGGAATGCTAAGAAATTTATAGGAGGATTGAAAGAGGTCTACTATGCAAATATGATATACGGCATTATTCGGTATAAATAATAAATGTTATAATACTGCAGAGTAGTATATATATTTTTCACTTTTATATTGTTAAATCAATTTGGATAATACCATACTTAATTTAGCATTATATTAATTGTCTTGGCAATATTAATGTTATAGTAAAAAGTTTCTGAAAATTTATTCTTATTCAGTGTGGATAACAAGCCAATTTTATTGTGATCAGTAAAGGTTTTTTTGTTGAGCATTTGATTAATAATAAGATTTATATTATATCATTACACGTTTTGCGTTAATAGTATAGCTTCAAGCTTTGTCTCTTTAAATTGTATAATTTATAGCAAATAAAGCAGATAATGATATGTAAACTTGGTAATGTATGTAGTATCATATGCAAGCACAATATTTATACTAGTAATTTATCAAAAGAAAATTAATTTTGGTAGTAGCCACTTGTTAAGGGGTACTTTTAATTCGAAAATTATAACATATACAGGTTAATTTCAAATCTCAATTGTAGCAAAATTGCAATATAAAAGTGAGTTGAGAATATTTAAATGTCATTTTTCTAGTTGAGCTATTAAATAAGCTTGGTAAAGCTTGTCATTTTCTCATTACGGGCTTTAAACTAGTTTTCCCAATGGATTTTTAAAATGCTATAGTATGCAGTCAAATCTTTTATAATTATGGTTAAACTGGGTTAATGACCAGTTTAGCTCAAATTCCTTATTTATTCATATATATGTTTACCAAGTATTGCTAATTATTTAGTACGTAATTTATGATTAAGAGATTTATGAGAATTCAGAATATAATTGAAAAAATTATAAAAACTGGATACTATGATCTATCTAGCCCATAAGAAGTTTTGAATTAACATATTCTTACACTAAATATTCAAGTGAACACAGCCATGCCATGCTTTATTAATATATCTTAATTAGCTATCGAACCAATAGAAAATAAAAATTTTTATTATCAAGTTTAACTGATATTCTCTTTTTAGATCAATTTAAGCCCAAAACTATAAAATCCTCTATTTTTAAAATACTGCAATTTTGTTTTATTTTTTAAAGGTTTTATATAAGTTAATTAATAAACTTATATCGTGAAACGAGTGCCAAGATTAATGCTTGTAGTGATATACTAGTTATATCCAAATAAAAGAAATTATCTTGTTGGACGTTTATTATTAGATGAATATACTATGTTTAATTCATAAGTTAATTAGATTTTTAACCTTGATATAACCAACAAAAGATGTCGATATTATTATTAGCTTTAAATATATGTTCTTATTATTTGTTTATTAGACTTATTATAACTATAGTCAAATGATCTAATTGGTAGTGAGATAAAATATATTACACTTCGGTGGTTAATGATAAAATAAACATAATTATTAGCCAGGTAATTAATCTAATTAATCTAATTTATATTGTGTTATTGAAGTAGAATTAGTAGCTCGGTGAAATACATCGATAAAATTGACAAATTTAGAGGCAGTGGATTGTTAAATATTGATAAAAATTTTAATAATTACTGTTCAATATATGTGTATATTTTGATACATTGATAGATGGCTATAAAGAAAGTGTAATGGTATTTGCAAGTATATAAAAATAGAAATAGTAAATAATTCAGATTAATTTAGTTGTATAATAATTGGAAATTGACAAATAAATTAATTCAACTATACTGCCAAAAATTTAATATTTAACAGTTATATAAATATGAAAGA